AGATACGAAGGGGCTGTAGTCAGAGAGGGCAGTTTCAGCTTTCAAGATCTTTGTGGGAGAGCAGTTTCAAACGATGATGAAGACCAAGGGTGGCGAGGGTCCGGCCTGAAGTAAAGAGTAGATCTTAATTTATGCATTACGATTATGAAGGTGTTTTCTGAGTTCAACTTCAAAACTCCTTAAAGAAAATTAACCAGGTGGTGTCCTGTGGATGAGAAGGAAAGAGACAATACGGTGTGAGAAAGCTAAGTTCAGTTGATGGACAGGAAGTCAGAAAATGTCTAGAGGTGCTAAATCAAGAAACAGTATAAACTTATAAATCTCCTGGGTCAAAGGCAGAAACATAAGGGATTGCACGGCTTTTGCAGATGAATGGTTATAAAAACAAGCAGGCCACTTGGGGTTTGCTCTTTGAAGTACTCAAGGCATATTTAGGGAATTTGATTCATGTTCAGGTTTGGTACACGGAGAGTCTCTCTGGCCTGGCATGTCTCTTCCATGAGTGCAGTCCTCTTGCTGCTGGGTATGCAAGACCCTGGAAGGCTGCGCGGCCTGAGCTGCTCTGTGATGGGGGAAATGGATTTTCATCTTTGATTAACATCAGGAAGTGACTCTTAGTCAATAAACAGGCAGGAGGAAGCCCTGTTACTATAGCACACTGGAGAATGCAGAATGCGGGTGCGGAGGAGAGCCAGAAGCATCTGGCTAGAGAATGGAAAGCTCTCAGGTTGGAGAAGGAAAGTTGGGAATGGGAGAGAGATCATGGGGAGGTGGAGGGAGAGGGGAAAAAAGGAAGTGGGGAGAGGGAGGGAATACTAAAGTTGGGAAGGGGCTAGGGATAGCGTAAGTCTCTAAGGAATTTTGGAAGCAGGGTTTCCAGGACCTTGAGGGGCAATAGCTATTGTTGGGAAAAGGTCATTTATTACTGTCTAGTAAAACCTTAATTATGAGACCCTTTAGATGTTTATCAGTGGGTCATAGGCTTGGGGGATGATTGCCAACATGTATCTTGGGGAGCAGAGATAAGGGAAGTTTTTGAAAGAAATTTTTTTAAGATTTTATTTATTTATTTATTTGAGAGAGAGAGAGAGGGAGAGTGAGCATGAGAGAGGAGAAGGTCAGAGGGAGAAGCAGACTCCCTGTGGAGCTGGGAGCCCAATGTGGAACTTGATCCCACGACTCCAGGACTCCAGGACTCCAGGACCATGACCCGAGCCGAAGGCAGTCACCCAACCAACTGAGCCACCCAGATGCCCCGGAATTTTTATATGTTTAAGTAGACTTACAGGGTCCTGGAGGTCAGGCTGAAATTGCCTTTTGGCCTTAATGAACTGTCAGCATCCAGGCAGCTGAGTTCCTAGAGGAATGTCACTCCGCCTGTCAATGGGCTGTAAGTAGTAAGAAAATTTAATAATTTTTCTTCTGCCTTTGTTTCCCACGTCAACACTATCTACCGGAGATAGCATCAGATCCCACAGGTGAAAGGTTCAATCCTGCAAGACTGCCCCCCTCCCCCACCCCCCACCCCATCCTCAGCCCCTACTACAGATGCCAGCCACCAGCCCAGCTTATCATCGGTACTTCTGACTGACAGGCTACACATTGGAAGTTCCAAGATCATTGGAAGTTCCAATGATTCCCTTTTTGGGTTCTATTAATTTGCTAAAGGCCCTCACAGAACTCACAGAAATGCTTAACTCTACAGAACAAACTGGAGGTCTCCAGGGGAGGGGGGTGGGGGGGGGGCGGAAGGAGTGAAGGGGCCAAGAGCACATTTATCATGATGAGCACTGAGTAATGTGTAGAATTGTCAAATCACTATATTGTACACCTGAAACTGATGTTCCACTATAAGTTAACTCTACTGGAATTTAAAAAAAATCAACTCACGGAAATATTTTTTGTGCTAGATTTCTGGTTTATTATAAAAGGATATAACTCAGGAACAGCCAGATGGAAGAGATGCGCAGGGCAAGATGTAGGGAAGGGACACAGAGTTGCAAGCCCCCTCCAAGCATGCAGCTCTCCCTAGTCTCCATGTGTTCACCAACCCAGAAGCTCTCTGAACCCCATTCTTTTTTGTTTTTGTGGAAGCTTTTTTAATGGAAGTTTTTATGGAAGCTAGGCATGATTGATTTAAATCATTGACCTTTAGTGATTGGACTCAATCTCCAGTCCCTCTCTCCTTCCCAGAGGTAGAGCGGTGGGTGGGACTCATTCCAACTCTCTGATCACATTGTTGGTTCCCTCATCCTTAGGAGTGGCCCCAAGGTAGCCTCATTAACATAATAAGACAGCTTTGTTCTCCTCCCTTAGGAAATTCTAAGTGTTTTAAGCATTGTGCGGGGAAATGGACGAAGACCACATATATATTTTTATTTATAAATCACAGCATCACAACCCTTCATTCTCTTGTAGCTACTGCCTTCTTTCCTCTCCTTCCCAGACTCTTTTAAAAGGAGTCTCTACTTGGCTCTACTTCTGCCCTCTAGTCCAGTTCATTCGCCCACTGCTGGCTGGTTTTTACTAATTCCCTAAGAGTCCTGTTTAAATCACCAGTAACCTGCCAGTATCCAGTGGAGCTCCGTGTTGAGAGCTGATCCTCATTAAGCCCCTCTTCCCTTAGCTTCCTTTGACTTTCTTTCTACTACTTCTCTGGCTAATTCGTCCTGTTATTCTTTTCTCCCGTTGCCCCCCCCCCCCGGATATTTTTGTTTCATTTATCTATCTAACAGCATTTATCCAACCACACAGCCCCGGCTGTATACCCTTCACTGTGCCAGCTGCAGAGGAATCCATAGCCTGGGCCCGCAAGGGCTTCATAGTCTACAAGTCGGAGGAAGCAGTGTGACGTCATGATACTCTCAAGTACAGGCTGCAGCTGGGATGTGGGGAGGGGGTTGGGGGGGGAGTGGTCCCTTTTGTTAGATCAGGGGTCAGGTTAAGAGGGGTCCAAAAGTCTTCTGCCTGGGCCCCTCTCCCCCTGCTTTGCCCTGAGCTATACTTCATCTCTCAGTGCTCATCTATAAAATAATGCGGCGGTTGTGTTGGTGTATTGCTCAGATGTCTTTTCAAGAGAATCTGCTTTGAGGAGTGAAGTTGACTCACAGCCCCCAGCTATTGTTTTTGGATCTGCGATGGCCTGTATACTGAGGCACGCTTCTCCTGGGCACCCCTAGCTAGTGACAGAGCGTGGTGGCAGCAATGGAACCCAGCCAGTTCTGCCCAGTGCAGGGTTCTACTGGACATTCTCAGCTCAAAGGCACCCCCATTTGCCTGGCTGAGACTTTCTGAGGGTCCTATATGTTAAGGAGCCTCCTCTCAAATCCTCCCTCCTCTTTCTCCTTTCAGAGGCTAGCAGACCTGCATCACCACCTACTCCTGCACTCTCCCCTTTATCTTTTCGTGGTATTTTCCCCACCAAATCACTCACATGCCTGAATGTTTTGGCATTTGAACCTGACACAGGGATACGACAGGATCTGCCTTAGAGTGCTGTTGTGAGAATTCAGTGAGTTCGTATATGGGAACTGCTTAGAAAAGAGCCTGGTACACAGCAAGTGTTAGGCTATTGTTGTTGTTAGCTATTATTACGATTATTTTATTATCCTTTAGATCTCAACTTCTATTTACTCTCTCTCCAGAAACCTCAGATCTCCTAGAGTGCTCCAGCAGCATCTTGTCCTTAATTCTGTTCCATTGTTTTGTTTTCTTGTTGGCCTTCACCCTTAGATGGTAAATTCAATGAATAATGGAACCTTGTTGGATTTACTGTTGTTTATCCGTGCCTAACATTGTGTCTGACTCATAGTAGGTGTTGAATTGTTGTTTGTTGAATCAAAATGATCGTTCAGCTGAGTATTAATGGATGAGTGTTATTGGCCAAATGGATGAGGACTGGGAAAGAAGGGATTGTTGAGAGCATTGTGTACTGGGCCACAAAAGGCCTGTACTGTGTGGGGTACTGGAAGCTGCTATGACTAAAGAGTGCGTGCAAGAGGGATGTGGCAAAAAAAGAAGCCTAAGGAGTAAGTCAAGGGCCAGAGCACCTCGATGGCCTGAATGCCAAGCCAAAGAGTGTGAATGGCATAGATTCACCTCACGCAGGTGTCAGGTGCAGCCCTTATGATGTGCTGGTGGGCTCATGCCCATCTGTGATGGTGTCTTACGTCCTTATGAATCATATGTTACTGCACCCAACACTATAGGTTGCCCCCAAATGGTGGCTGTTTCTCTAGAACTACATGAAGAAATGTAGGCCTCTCTGAACATTCATTTCAACAACGCATCTGATTGGTCTTTATTTACAAACTGCCTTGGCTGCAGTATCTCCCCCAAACAGTTGGGTCTCTTAACCCACGTCTTTGCCTTCCTCACAGCCCTGTTAAATATACCTTCCACTCGCGCTGTGGTACAGATCTCTCAAGCTAAATCTGTCCATCCTACTCCTCAGTGTAATACCTCCCGATAACAGCACACTCTGGTTGCCTGTAAGATAACGTCCAGATTCCTTAGTGTGGCCCAGAAGGAACGCCCTGGTCTGGGCATCTGTGTCCTCTGTATGCTCTGTGGCACACCATGCTGAAGTGCTTGTAGGCATCGGGAAGTCATGCTGCCCACCACTTCCTTCAAATACACGCTGTGGCTGCCTGGGATGTTCTTCATCTGGGTCTGCTTCTTGAACTCTTAGCTATCTTACAGGAAGTAGTTGCCAAAACACTGATCCCTGTGAAGCCATTTCTAACTTGTTAGGCCTCAAGTCCCACTTGTTTGCAGCCTCGTCAGACTGTTTGTTTGTTGTTATGACACTGGCCACACTGCATGGCACTCGTCCCGTTACCTCTGATGCCCTCTCTGGACTATGGCTCCCGGAGTATTGGTGACTGTGGAGTCCCCAGCCCCAGGAGCAGTGTCTGGCACATAGCATATCCTCAGTAGATAACTGGTTAAAGAGAAAAGGACAGAAGGGAATGAAAGCTGGTCTCTTTCTTTTGAAGCAGAAGGGAGTCCCCTCACCATGTGGCTGTGCCTGGCAGCCCTCGTGGGCCTCTACTTCCTCCTGCGCTGGTACCGGGAGAGGCAGGTGGTGAGCCACCTCCAAGACAAGTACGTCTTCATCACGGGCTGTGACTCGGGCTTCGGGAACCTGCTGGCTCGGCAGCTGGACCTGCGAGGGTTGATGGTGCTGGCCGCGTGTCTGACGGAGGAGGGGGCCCAGCAGCTGAGAGACCAGACGTCAGACAGGCTGGAGACAGTGATCCTGGACGTCACCAAGACAGAGAGCATATCGGCAGCCACCCAGTGGGTGAGGGAGCGTGTCAGGGACAGAGGTAAGGAGAAGTAGTTTCTCCTTTCATTTACTTGGGCATGAAGTTGTTAAAGTTTTCTCTCTACATGTAATACCCCAAAGTAGGGCCTAAAAGGCTTTCTCATTTGAAGGATAGTTGTGATCTTCAGTGGTGTTTCATTTCCTTAACAATGTTTACCTTGAAAAATGAGCCAAATAGATTTGAAGCTATTATCTCATCTTGCCAGTGGAGTATTTATAACCATAGTTCTTTATGTTTATGTTTAAAGAATTTTCAAGGTATTCTTTTTTTTTTTTTTAAAGATTTTATTTATTTATTTGAGAGAGAGACAGTGAGAGAGAGCATGAGTGAGGAGAAGGTCAGAGAGAGAAGCAGACTCCCCGCGGAGCCGGGAGCCCGATGCGGGACTCGATCCCGGAACTCCAGGATCACGGCCTGAGCCGAAGGCAGTCGTCCAACCAACTGAGCCACCCAGGCGTCCCTTTTCAAGGTATTCTTAAGAAACTGATCTTCTTCCCTTGGCTACCGTTTAAAATAGAGTCATTCCTGGGCACCTGGGTGGCTCAGTTGGTTAAGCTTCTGTCTTTGGCTCAGGTCCTGATCCCAGGGTCCTGGAATTGAGTCCTACATAGAGGGGCAGGGGAAGGAGGGTCCCTGCTCAGCGGGGAGTCTGCTTCTCCCTCTCCCCCTGCCAATTTCCCTGCTTTTGTGCCCTCTCTCTCTGACAAATTAATAAATAAATGAAATCTTTAAAAAAAATTACGTTATATTTAGCATACATATTTTATATGATATGTCTTATACTTCTGGTATCTAATGTCTTTGTGAGTCTTTTTTTGCTTCTTTTGATTCTGTTGGTTCTTGCATTTGGTGTTTTGCTTCCTTCCATATTTTGATTTATGACCATGAACTACAATTTTTCTTAGTAACTCTGGTGATTCCCTGACGCCTGATATAAAGATTTTTTCCAGAGAGGATCCATGTTTGCTTCTATCATGTGCCAGGGGTGCTCGGAAGCCTTGACCACCTTGAACTTAATTCTTGGCTTGACATTTTTGGACCATCCAGATAGTGGGAATTGGGCTGCAAACTCTGATGAGAAATGGCTTGTAGTAATGATTCCTCAGGGTTGGTAGGGATGATTCTTGCTCCCTCCCCACAACAGCAAAGTTCAAGGTGGACAGTGTTACTTTCAGTCCTTTGGAAGGACTTTCTGTCTCACCCTTATACGGATAGCATAGCCATTAAAGATCCCAGTTTAATGAAGAAAGTATTTTTTATTAGAATCCCTACCTTAGGTGGGTCCTGGACTTCATATCTTATTGTGTATTTTTTTGAGGCTATAAATATTGAAATTCAAATTCACACTGGTTGGCAAATACCCTCAAATCAAAAGCCGGCACCAATGTTCTCTTTATTGTCTCTGGATTCCTGCCTTTTCTTAGTTTTTGCCCTGACCTTCCCCTACTTTCTTGTTAACTGATGGATTTAAGAACATTAAAAAAAATAGGGGTGCTGGATTTAAGAACATTAAAAAATATAGGGGCGCCTGGGTGGCTTAGTCATTAAGTGTCGGCTTCGGCTCAGGTCATGATCCCAGGGTCCTGGGATTGAGCCGCGCATCGGGTTCCCTGCTCGGCAGGAAGCCTGCTTCTCCCTCTCCCTCTGCTGCTCCCCTGCTTGTGTTCCCTCTCTCTATCAAATAAATAAATAAGTAAATAATCTTTAAAAAAAAAAAAGAACATTAAAAAATATATTTTGTCTAACATTTTTAGTTGCTGTCAGCCGGAAGACAGATTAAGGTAAATTGTCAGTTTTGTCTGAAACTGATCTTCTGCTTTGACTGTTTTAGGACTCTGGGGCCTGGTCAACAATGCAGGCATCTTCCACCCACACTGCTACATCGAGTGGCTGAAGATGGAAACCTATATGGATGTCTTCAAAGTGAACCTCATTGGTTTGATTGAGTTGACCTTGAGCATGCTTCCCTTGGTGAGGAGAGCACGTGGGAGGATTGTTAATGTCTCCAGCATTCTGGGAAGAATTGCTTCCTTTGGAGGAATCTACTGTAGCTCCAAGTATGGAGTAGAAGCCTTTTCAGATATTCTGAGGTAACGCTCTTAAGTTAAAACAAAAGCAACAAATATGTCATAGGCACTGTGCTAATTGCTTTTGCCTACATTATTTTATTTCATTACTCCAAAAATCTTGATTTATAGATATTATTACTAGTTTGTTTTATATAGGAAATTGAGGCTCCAATTTAAGTCTCTTTCCCAAAGTTCACTTGCCGCAACTCGGATTTGGCAGAACTGTGTTTTGACTGTAGGTCTTTGTTTCCTTCCACCACATCACACTTTAATTCTCAAGATTTAGCCTTGATAAAATTTCATTTCTCAGGGCACCTGGGTGACTCACACGGTTAAGCGTCTTATCCCAGGGTCCTGGGATCAAGCCCCACATCGGCCCCCCTGCTCAGCAGGGAGTCTGCTTCTCTCTCTGCCTGCTGCTCCCCCTGCTTGTACTCTCTGTGTCAAGTAAATACATAAAATCTTTTTAAAAAATTTCATTTCTGAAGAGAAGATGACTGTCTTCTTTCCTCCTTACAGTGAGCTTGTCCTTGTCTCTCCATGGTGACTCTCTTTGTCTCTGGGCACTCATCTGCTTTACTCTGTATCTCTTTTCTTTATCTAAGCACTTCTTTTCTTAGACCTTCCGTTCGCCCGCCATGGCCCATTATGGCGCTGGGCCTACCTCCTGGCTTTTTTTCAGGCACTGTTTCAGGCTTGTGTCGCTCTGTCAGCTGCTTCCTTTTTATATTTCCCTTTACCTTTTCATTCCTAAGAGGGAGGACTCTGTTAGCTTTGTTTATTTTCTGTGTGTGCCAGGTGACCTATTCTGTGACATTTTCATGTGCTTTATTACGTGCCGGGCACTGTTGTGAGTACTTCACATCTAACAAGTCATTTAATTTTCATAGCAACCCAATGAGGAAGGTCTTATTTTTATCCTTAGTGTGTGTGTGAGGAAACAGGGGCAGAGATTAGTAGGTCGCTATGGTCATAACACAGGTAGTAATAGACAGAGCCACTCTCCAAGGCTAAGCAGGGCTCTCTCCTCCCAGCAGGTACCCTCTCTGGTCCAGTTAGCTGGGGACATGATGGGATAGTCACATGGCACAAAATATTGCCACACAGACTCCCCGTTAAGCAGGAACTGACTTTAGGGCAGTTTCATTCTTGGAAATGAGCTGTGACTATTTTAGGCACCATGTATTAGCTTCCTATGGCTGCTGTAATTCTTTTTTTTTTAATTAAAAAAAATTTTTTTAAAGATTTTATTTATTTATTTGACACAGAGAGATCACAAGTAGGCAGAGAGGCAGGCAGAGAGAGAGGAAGGGAAGCAGGCTCCCCACTGAGCAGAGAGCCTGGCGCGGGGCTCGGGGCTTGATCCCATGACCCCGGGATCATGACCTGAGCTGAAGGCAGAGGCTTTAACACACTGAGCTACCCAGGCGCCCCTCTTTTTTTTTTTTTTTTAAGATTTTATTTTTTTAAGTAATTTCCACACCCAATGTGGGGCTTGAACTCACAGCCCCAAGATCAAGAGTCGCGTGCTCTGCCGACTGAGCCAGCCAGTGTCCTGTGGCTGCTATAATTTGGAGTGTCTGAAAACAACACATATTTATTCCCTCACAGTTCTGGAGGCCAAAGTCTGAAATCAGTGTTACTGGGCCCAAATCAAGTTGTTGACAGGGCCAGGTTCCTTCTGAAGGCTCTAGGGGAGAATCTGTTCCATGCCTCTTCCAGCTTCTATGGGCTGTCAGCATTCCTTGGCTTGTTGCTACATCACTCCAGTCTCCGCCTCCGAGGTCACATTGCCTTCTCTTCCTCTGTGGGCCTTCAAATATGCCTCTGTCTCTCTTATAAAGATAGTTGTGATTGCGGGCACCTGGGTGGCTCAGTTGGTTAAGCGTCTGCCTTTGGCTCAGGTCATGATTGCAGGGTCCTGGGGCAGAATCCACATTGGTCTCCCTGCTCAGCAGGGAGTCTGCTTCTCCCTTTCCTCCTTGCTTATGCTCTCTCTTGCTATCTCTCTCTCTCTCTCGAATAAATAAATAAAATCTTTAAAAAAAGGTAGTTGTGATTGCACACCCAGATTATCTAGCATAATCTCCCGTCTCAAGATCCTTAATTTAATCACAACTGCAGGGTGCCACATGGGTTCCAGGGATTAGGACCCAGTATCTTTGGGGGCCATTATTTAGCTTATCATGTGCCATGACCAGTAAGTATCTCTTATAATACGCATACTGTATTATCTGCCTAGGAAGGGAATAGGGAAATAATTGAAGTCATGTGAGTTGTCACCATGGGACAGGCACCTTGCTTGGCTTCCAGCCTAATTTACCTTCTGTCTGCCTCTATGGGGCTGCTGCGTGTATTTCACTGGTGTCTCAGACCCCTTGACTCATTCTCAGACCAAGAGCAAAGAATGGCCTCCCAATGTTCAAATCATGAATTCTTTTAGAAAAAATTCCAGTGTGCTCTAATTGTGCTAAGGCTGAACAGGGAAAGGAAGTTCTGGCCCACACATGAGCTGGACTTTCAGAGGGAACGCAGATCTCACGGTGTGATGGGAATCACGGTGGGGAAGCCGCAAGGGGAAGTGAAATTCTAGGTCAGAGGCACCATGGGCTTACACAGCCCTCTCTCTTTGCCAGCACACACAGCCACCAGGACAGTCTTTCTCTGAGGCTCTACCATGGAAAGTTTTAGATTTTGCTTTGATAAGGGAGGCTTTTCCTTTAGAAAAGTAGTTTTTAACCTCTAGGTTGCCTCAGAGCCTGGATGGCTTATGCACACAGATTGTCAGGTCTCACCCCCAGACTTCCTGACTTAATAAATCTGGACTAGAGCCCAGTAATTTGTATTTCTAACAGGCTCCCAGATGCTGATGTTGCCATTTATCCGGGGACCACACTTTGAGAACCACTCAGAGCTTTAGGGGGTCATGATGCTATGTGTTTTACCTTCTTATGGACCAATTATTTCAAACATTTCTCCTTGAAATCAGCTTGGGCTTCACCTTTTTCAGTGAGGCCACTTCAACCTCCAGATTAGGGAACACCCCTCATCACTGTCCCCAAACACCTAGACTATACTTCTCCCATGGTACGCAATGCCATCTTATTTCACTTGGTGAAGGCAGTACTTAGCACAGTGCTTGGTACATACCCAGCCCCCGGTAAGGATTCTGGCACTCTTTGTTGAACTAACCTGAATATTCTGGAACGACCAATGACTTGTAATTTTCATGTCCACCTCGGATTCCATTAACGGTCTTTTGTAGTCTTTGAATATATGGTAATTCTTCACAGGTCCATGCTTTTGCAGGTCCAGTTCCCACTATCTGGTATTCTGTTCTTCCCCTTTCATCACTCAGAAATTTCCTCTTTATCCTTCAAGGCTCAAGGGAACAGTCTCTCCTCATTGAAGCCTTCCTTGACTCCCTCAGAAACTGTCTGCCTCCTCCTCTCTACTTATGTAGCCCCTTGAATATCTCTCCTTTATAATTCCTTTTTTTTTTTTTAAGATTTTATTTATTTATTTGACAGAGATCACAAGTAGGCAGAGAAGCAGGCAGAGAGAGAGGAAGGGAAGCAGGCTCCCTGCTGAGCAGAGAGCCTGATGCGGGGCTCGATCCCAGGACCCTGAGACCATGACCTGAGCCGAAGGCAGAGGCTTAACCCACTGAGCCACCCAGGCACCCCTATAATTCCTTTTTTTTTAAAGGTTATTTGTTTATTGATTTGACAGAGAGAGAGAAAGAGAGAAGAGAGCACAAGCAGGGGTAGCAGCAGAGGGAGAGGGAGATGCAGGCTCCCTGCTCCGTTGGCATCACAACCTGAGCCGAAGGCAGATGCTCAACCCTCTGAATCACCCAGGCGCCCCTATAATTCTTTTGAGTTGTGTTAACAATGATTTGCTTACTTGTCAGACTCACTCATTGTGAGCTTTTTTTTTTTAAAGATTTTTTTTAAATTTATTTATTTGACAGACAGAGATCACAAGTAGGCAGAGAGGCAGGCAGAGAGGGAGAGGGGAGGAAGCAGGCTCCCTGCCGAGCAGAAAGCCCAATAAGAGGCTTGATCCCAGGACCCTGGGATCATAACCTGAGCCGAAGGCAGAGGCTTTAACCCACTGAGCCACCCAGGTGCCCCTCATTGTGAGCTTTTGAGGCAAGCAACTGAGTCTTAATTTTCTGAGATTGTGCACGTAAGATGCTTAGCACAGTAGCTGCTGTAAAAATGCTAACTTTCTTTGTTCTTCCTTGTGTCCTTCATGGCTCCCCTATCTAAAACAGGGTAGGGACTTCATGACTCTGTGGAAAGAGTGGATGTAGAATTGAGCGGTTCTGGTAGTTTGTATAATCATGTCCCCATTGTTGGACCTAGGAAATGAAAAACATTTTTTTTTCCTTTTCCTCTCCGTTTCTTTATCCTTCAAAATATTCAGTAGAGATGTTTTTAAAAACTTGTTTGGTTTTGTTTTCCTCCATGAGAGCACTGAAATCGTGTCTTTCAATCAAAAGAGTTAACTTCTGGGGCGCCTGGGTGGCTCAGTGGTTTAAGCCTCTGCCTTCAGCTCAGGTCATGATCTCGGGGTCCTGGGATCGAGCCCCACATCAGGCTCTCTGCTCAGCAGGGACCCTGCTTCTCCCTCTCTCTCTGCCTGCCTCTCTGCCTACTTGTGATCTGTCTCTCTCTGTGTCAAAGAAATAAATAAAATCTTTAAAAAAAAAAAAAAGAGTTAACTCCAGGGTTTGTATTTTCAGGCGTGAGCTTCAACATTTTGGGGTGAAAATTAGCATAGATGAGCCTGGCTACTTCAGAACCGGAATGACAGAGTTGCAGCGATGCCTGGAGAAACTCAAGCAAGCCTGGGAAGAAGTCCTTGAACATGTTAAAGAAGCCTATGGACAGAAGTTTTTTGATGCCCGTGAGCTTTTCTTTGCCTAAGATAATGGCTAACCTTGCCTGAGAAGGGGAAAAGAGGGTTGGTGAAGAATGGTGAAGATGGGCAGGTCCTCTGAGAACAAAACTCCTTAAACAAAGCCTTCGCAGGATAGGAGGTGTTGGGTAAGGTCCCATGGCCCTCGTGGTTGGCTTGGTGATGGCTTTCATGGCTGAGGAAGAGGTTGTATGGACAGCCTAGGGCCAGTGCTCATTCTGCCCTGATACGTATGGGCTGGGCCATCTATGTTACTAGGGAGGCATTACATGGCTAGAGGCCCAGAACCTCTGGGTCTTGAGAGGGGTGTGCCCTTCTGTAGTCTGGCAGGACTGGTGTGGGAGGCCTGCACAACTGAAGTACAGCCTTCAGTATCGTCTGCCCCTTTAGTAACAAAGGGCCCAGGCACAAACTCCATGCCTTATTGTTAGGGGAGGGAAGGTGTCTGTGGGTAGAGAAGACTAGGTGAAGGCCAGGTTTGCAAGGCTTTATTGGCCGAGCCCAGAGACTGGACCCCAAGTGCAGCCTTCAGGAGCCTTCTGGGAGTGAGATGGTTCAATGTCTGTAAGAATGGCATTCTTATGACCTGGAAGAGGAGGCAGTTTGGGGGTAGAGGTAAAGCAGCCTTCTTCATAGGAGTACGTCATTCACCTTGGTGTGGGGTTCCATCTTCCTGGGGGAAGCGATGGTTTTTCTTCACACAAAGGAGTCAGCAGCTTGCCAAGGCCAAAGGGAGCAGCTCCCCTTTCACAGAGGGACCCTGTGATGGGTGGGTCCCAGCAGCCTGGGCACTGGCTTTGAGTGATACTGTAGTCCAGAGAAAAGAAGGCAGACAGAGGTGCAGACAGAAGACTCTCGACCTCCAGCACTGTCTTCTGGGTGCATCAGGCCTAAGAGGGTCACGATTAGCAGAGGGGAGAAAAATTGAATCAAGAAAAAAGCTGGCACAAAACAGTGCCTGAGCCTCTCAGAACTCATAGCAAGCTAGGGAAATATCGTTCCCAACATGGCAGAGGGCCAGCTGTAGTTATAAACTCTTCCCTGTCTAAGGTTTTAAACTGTATTAGGGAATTTTTTTCCCATCTGGGTACATAGAGTTTGACAATAGAAATTAAGAGGAAAGTAGAATTTATTGTAGTGACTATACATATAAGTACATATAGATACAAAAGGATATATATATATATATATATATATATATATATACATATATATGTATATATATATATATATATGTCTGTCATGATTTAAAAGTAGTTAAGGGAGGGGTGCCTGGGTGGCTCAGTGGGTTAAGCCTCTGCCTTCCGCTCAGGTCATGATCCCAGGGTCCTGGGATCGAGCCCCGCATCGGGCTCTCTCCTCAGCAGGGAACCTGCTTCCTTTCCTCTCTTTGCCTGCCTCTCTGCCTACTTATGATCTCTGTCTGTCAAATAAATAAAAATAAAATCTTAAAAAAAAAAAAAAAGTAGTTAAGGGATGCCTGGGTGGCTCATTGGTTAAGTGTCTGCCTTCAGCTCAGGTCATGATCCCAGGGTCCTGGGATTGAGTCCTGAGTTGCCCTGCCGCTCCTATTGCTTGTGGTCATGCTCTGTCATGCTCTTTCTCTGACAAATAAATAAAATCTTTAAAGAAAAGAATATAAAAGGAATTGGAATTGTTCAAAGAGTTATTATCAATATAAAGTTGTTAATAAGGTATTTTTTATTCTTTTTCTTATTGGTCCTTTAAAATTGGTGTATATTTTATACTTATAGTATATCTTAACTTGGATGCTAAATTTTCCTAGGAAATACTTCATCTGTAGATTAAGAAAATTTAGAGTTGCTGGAGCATTATTTATAAGAATATAAATTACCTTATTAATAATTTCACAATGATAATAAATACTGAAATGGTAGTATTTTGGATATGGAGGATTAAATTTTTTTTTTTAAAGATTTTATTTATTTATTTGACAGACGGAGATCACAAGTAGGCAGAGAAGCAGGCAGAGAGAGAGGAGGAAGCAGGCTCCATGCTGAGCAGAGAGCCCGATGTGGGGCTCGATCCCAGGACTCTGAGATCATGACCTGAGTTGAAGGCAGAGGCTTTAACCCACTGAGCCACCCAGGTGCCCCTAAATATATTTTTTTAAGATTTTATTTATTTATTTGGCAGACAGAGATTACAAGTAGGCAGAGAGGCAGAGAGAGAGGAGGAAGCAGGCTCCCCGCTGAGCAGAGAGCCCGATGCGGGGCTCGATCCCAGGATCCTGAGGCCATGACCGGAGCTGAAGGCAGAGGCTTTAACCCAATGAGCCACCCAGGCGCCCAAAATAACTGTATTATTAAAATTAATTAATTTCATGTGTTTCCTTTTTTTTTTTTTTTGAAGATTTTATTTAATTATTTGACAGACGGAGTCCATAAGTAGGCAGAGAGGCAGGCAGAGAGAGAGGGGGGAGCAGGCTCGATCCAGATGCGGGGCTCGATCCCAGGACCCTGGGATCATGACCTGAGCCGAAGGCAGAGGCTTTAATCCACTGAGCCACCCAGGCGCTCCTCATGTGTTTCCTTTTTTTTAACTTTAAAATTTTTTTAAATTTATTTTTTGAAAAGATTTTTATTTATTATTTTATTGGACAGAGAAAGAAACAGCGAGAGAGGAATACAAGGGGGGAGTGGGAGAGGGAGAAGTAAGCTTCCTGCTGAGCAGGAAGCCTGATTTGAGTCTCGATCCCAGGACCCTGGGATTATGACCCAAACTGAAGGCAGCTGCCCAACCATCTGAACCACCCAGGTGCCCCCTGTTTTCTTTTTTTTTAAGTGGCAACTAGAAAATTTAAGATTACATATGTGGGTCTCATTATTATTTCTATCGGATAACACTGTAAATTATTCTGATCCATGGACAACTCCAAAAATACTAAAATGTTTTCCAGAAATAGATTTGAGTTTTAAAATGAAAATTAATTAAAATTTAAAAATTCAGTTTTTAGTCATACTAGCTATATTTTAGGTCTTCAGTAGCTACATTTGGCTAATGGCTGTCACTGGGAAGCATAGATCTACAGCCTAATCCTTGTAGAAATCAAATGTCGTTAGATTTCTGTGGCTGTATAGCAGGGTCTTAACCTTAAAATATAAGGAATAAAGATTTTATTTATTTATTTGACAGACAGAGATCACAAGTAGGCAGAGAAGCAGGCAGAGAGAGACGGAGGGAAGCAGGCTCCCTGCTGAGCAGAGAACCCAATGCAGGGCTCGATCCCAGGACCCTGCTGGGATCATGACCTGAGCTGAAGGCAGAGGCTTTAACCCATTGAGCCATCTAGGCACCCCTAAAATACAAGGAATAAGATTGGGGCACCTGGGTGGCTCAGTTGGTGAAGTATCTGCCTTTGGCTTAGGGCATGATCTCAGGGTCTTGGGATCGAGCCCTTGTGTCAGGCTCCCTGCTCAGTGGGGAGCCTGATTCTCCATCTATCTCTGTCCCTCTTCCCTGCTCATGCTCTCTCTCTCTCTCAAATAAATAAATAAGATCTTTTTAAAAAAAAACGCAAGGAATAAGATGGCTGACCACCATTTCTCTGTTTGTATACAGATTACAGTGGCGTCAAACAAGAGCTGTTGAAATGTAGCACAAACCTGAACCTGGTCACTGACTGCATGGAACATGCTTTGACGTCTGTGTATCCCCGCACTCGATACTCAGCTGGTTGGGATTCTCAGTTTTTTTTCATTCCTCTCTCCTATTTACCTACATCACTGTCAGACTACATACTGACTAGGTCTTGGCCCAAACCAGCCCAGGCCGTCTAAAGAAAACTGGTTTGATTGCTCTCGAAGAAGACGAAAGTCCGAAATTGATAATTAGTGTCTCAGTAATCCTTATTAGGAACTAACATGTTTATAGTCCAGATATCCAAAGCTTATTCCTTGAGGAATTTTTACTATTTTAAGAATTTTTTGATGAGAATATTTCCAAAATACATCATTCTTCTTTGCCTGTTAAACAGAGTAAACAGAAAATAATTCAACTTGTTTTGATATTATTTCTTTATGTAAATGAATAGTTCTGGGCTATGATAACACTGTTGCTTGAGGACTATTTAGAAATATATGGACTTCTTTATCTTTATTTGTACTATGGTACTTTTTTTTTTCTACTCTGGTACTTTTAATAAATATTTCATTTTGCTTTCTTCTCTGTTTGCCAGCTATTTTTGATGATGTTTCTTCCTTGTTTAAAAATAAATGATTTTTAATTTTGTAAATGAAAATAATACACACACACACACACACACACACACACACACAGTTAAATGTTCCATTAATACTCAAAAGCTTAAAAATAAAAAACAGCAGTTCCCCACGCTTCATTGCTGCTCCTCAGAGGTAAATGCTTTCAACTTTTACCTATTTCTTCTGGTATCAACCTCTATATTTCTAAGTAATATACTGTTATTTCTAAGTAATTCTAAGTAATATACTGATTTATTAAGTTTAGACATTCTCAATTGATTTCCCACTAAGAAAAATCCTGTTGATTTTCTTATTAGTTTATTCATACCACTTTCCTGACCATTTCCTGTATCCCAATATTTTAAATAAAATTTTATCTTATTTTCAGTAATTAATAGTGTTTGCATTGTTAAGTATGTGAATATTGCTTACTGTTCAGTCAAGTATTTTTCCTTTATAATACCATCTTTTTGTTTTTCTTAGAGTTAATAATTGCCTTGCTTTTTTACTTGCAGTATTTTAAATTTACTTTAATTTTTTTTGGTTCTTGCAGATGTCAGAACACTATCAGTAGTATTTTTAGATTGCTAAACAGATTATCATTCCATTTCAATTGATCCAAGAAAGGATCACACTTTGATTTAGTTGTTATGTCCCTGTTCTCTGATTTAACCTATAATAATTTCTTCATTTCAAAAAAGAATCTTTTATAATACGGACATTTTTGAAGAGTATTAGTTATTTTGTAAAGCATGTCCTCATGATCAGATCTGGGTTATGCATTTTGGCAGAAATGCCACAGAAGTAATATTGAGTCCCTCTCAATGCATCCTATCAATGGGCATAGATGTCAGTTTATCTCATTATTGGTGATGTTTTTAAGTTTGAACCCTTGGTTAAAATAGAGTCTGCCAAGGGGCACCTGGGTGGCTCAGTTGATTGTCTGCCTTCAGCTTAGTTCGTGCTCCTAGCATCCTGAGATCGAGCTCCACATTGGGATCTCAGCGGGGCATCTACTTCTCCCTCTCCTCTGGCTTGTGCTGTCTCTCTCTCTCTCAAATAAATAAAAATCTTTAAAAAAAAATGGAGTCTGCCAAGTCTCTCTACTGTAAAGTTAATTTTTTTCTTTTATAACTAATAAATAATTCGTGAAGATATTTTGAGATTATATAAATGTCCTGTTCCTCATCAAACTTTTACCTACTAATTTTAGAATTATTAATGATTCTTTTTAAAATCAGTTATTACTATGATGATTATGAATGATTTTTAACTCCCTCACTCCATCTACATTTACAAGTTGAAATTTCCATCTCCTTTATTTTTTTATTTATTATAAGAATAGACTCATGGGGTCACCTGGGTAGCACAGTTGGTTGAGCCTCTGCCTTCGGTTCAAGTAATGATCCTAGAGACCTGAGATTGAGACCCATGTCGGGCTCCCTGCTCAGTGGGGAGTCTGTTTCTCCCTCTGCCTCTCCCCCAGCTTGTGCTCTCTCTCCCTCGCTCACTCTCCCCGCAAATAAATTAATAAAATCTTAAAAAAAAAAAGGAATGGACTCATGGATTCTTTTTTTTTTTTTTTAAGATTTTATTTATTTATTTGACAGAGAGAGATCACAAGTAGACGGAGAGGCAGGCAGAGAGAGAGAGAGAGAGAGGGAAGCAGGCACCCTGCCGAGCAGAGAGCCCGATGCGGGACTCGATCCCAGGACCCTGAGATCATGACCTGAGCTGAAGGCAGCGGCTTAATCCACTGAGCCACCCAGGTGCCCCTGGACTCATGGATTCTTAGTTTAATTAGTTATAAGCCATTTCTGTCATTATGTATTTTGTATTTTTAGAATTCTTATATCTGTACAACTTTTTTTTTTTAAAAGATTATTTATTTGAGAGAGTGTGAGAGGGGGAAAGAGGGAGAGGGAGAGTGAATCTCAAGCAGACTCCATGCTGAGCGTGGAGCTGATGTGGGGCTGGATCTCACAAGGCTAAGATTATGACCCAAGCTGCAATCAAGAGTCAGATGCTTAACCAACTGCTTTTGGCTGTGCTTTACCATTAACTCCAAGCGCCTGTGCATTCGTGTGCCCTTCTAGGACAAATTGGCACCAGCCACAGTGTGGCAAGACTCTCCCCCAGAGGATAAGCATGGGTCCGTGTCTCGCTGGCTTCCTAAAATTTGGAGTTTTGAAACCCAGCTAGTGGACCTCAGATAAAACATAGGAGCACTGCCCTGTTGGGTGAGCAGATGGCTTGGACAAAGACAGGGGAAGGCAGGGATCTAAGGGGATCGTGTGCCTGGGACACATGAGGAGAGATTGTTCACTCTTCTGTGAGGGCTTCCTAAACAGTGGTGGTGTGAACTTTGCCTGCCCCCCCCCGCCCCCTATCAGCACAGTGCCCACAGTGGAGGCTTGAGCCGATTATACCAAGCCCCAGCCCCCTGCTAGGACAAGTGTGTCTGAGAGTCAGAGTAGCGGTGGGCCCTCCCCGAGAAGACCAGCACAAACCCCCCACACGCACCAAGTCTACTGACCATAGAGTGCTGCAAAGCTTCAGCTCTGGGGCAAATAGGAAATAGAGTCTAACCTCTTTTAACAAGCAGACCAAAGCACACCCAGTTAGAACCTGCCACACACTGGACAAGTTCCCAACATTCCCCAACTCAGGCAAGGAGAAAACACACACACACACACACACACACACACACACACACACACACACACACACTCCTTCCTCCAATTCCTCCACCCTCCACCCCTGCCTGTGATAACCATGTATCTAAACTCTTTTCTATGAGTTTGGTCTCACATATAAGTGAGATCATACAGTATTTGTCTTTTTCTGACATGCCTTCGAGGTCTATCCATGTTGTCACAAATGGTAGAATTTCCTCATTTTTTTTATTGCTGCTAATATTCCATTATATATACACACCACAACTTTATCCATTCATCCATCCACAGACACTTAGGTTGTTTCTCTGTCTTGAGCAATATCAGTAATGTTGCTATGAACATGGGAGTCCAGATATCTTTCAGAGTTAGTGTTTTTATTTCCTCTGGATATATTACCAAAAGTGGAATTGCTGGGTCATATCGTGGCTTTATCTTATTTTTAAATTTTTTTATGGAACTTTCATGCTGTTTTTCATAGTGACTGTATCAGTTTACATTCTCACCAGCAGGGCACAAAGATTCCCTTTTTTCCATATCTGTACTAGCATTTGTTATCTCTTGTCTTTTTGATGATGACCATTTGAATGGATGTGAGGTGATACCTCACTGTGTGTTTTGTTGTTGTTTTTTTTTAAGATTTTATTTATCTGTTTGACAGACGGAGATCACAAGTTATGCAGAGAGGCAGGCAGAGAGAGAGGAAGGGAAGCAGGCTCCCTGCTGAGCAGAAAGCCCAATGTGGGGCTCGATCCCAGGACCCCGGGATCATGACCCGAGCCGAAGGTAGAGGCTTTAACCGATTGAGCCACCCAGGCGCCCCTCAAGTTAATTTTTGTGGGTGGTGTTAGATAAAGGTCCAGTTTTATTTTTTACATATGAATAATCAATTTTCCTAGCACTATTTATTGAAGAGACTATCTTTTTTCCAGTAAGTATTCTTGGCTCTCTTGTCAAATATAAGCTGATTGTATATGCTTGGGTTTATCTCTGGGCTCTTGATTCTTTTCCATTGGTCTAGCTGACTGTTTTTATGTCTACCATAATGTTTTAATCACTATAGCTTTATAGTGTAGCTTGAAATCAGGAAGTATGATGCCTCCTGCTTTGTTTTCTTGGGATTTCTTTGGCTATTAGGGGTCTTTTGTAGTTCCATATATATCACAAAGTTTTATTGTTAAATGGAAAGAACTTGAAGTTTATAAGCAAGAGAAACAATGATGGGGTTCTTGGCTGGTTCAGCTGGTAGAACATGCGACTTGATCTCAAGGTTGTGAGTCTGAGTCTCACACTGGGTATAGAGATTACTTTAAAAAAAGAAAAGGAGAAGAAACAATAATAGAAAGTAGACAGGGGAAGAAGGAGAAAAAAAAAGAGACAAACCAAAAAACAGACTCTTACTAACTACAGAGAACAAACAGTTACCAGAGGGGAGGTGGGTGTGGGGAAGGGTGAAATAGGTGAAGGGGATTAAGAGTGCACTTACCTTGATGAGCACTGAGTAACATAGAAGATTGTTGAATCACTGTCTTATATACCTGAAACTAACTTGACTCTGTATGTTAACTATAATGGAATTAAAAATTAAAAAAAATAAAGAAGGCCTAAATATAAATGAAGAGATATACTATTTTTACAGGTGGGTCAGAAGACTCAATATAATTGTTAATTCTCTAAAAAAAAGTAAAGAAAAGAAAAAAGAAAAATGGACAGAGGAAATGAAAAGCTGAATGACTAATAAATATATAAAATATATTCATTCTCACTAGTAATCAGAGAAATGAAAAGTAAAACCACAGAGAGATATAGTTCCACATCCATAATACTGCCAAAAATGAAAGTCAGCCAATATTAGGAGAGAAACTATAGATAAAGGGCAGATTCTACACTTCTATGCAAGATTAAATTTATAGAGCCATTTTGGTGAACAATTTGGGAAATACCTGATAACGTTGAAGTGCATTTGCCCTATGACTCAACAATTTCACTTCTAGATACAAATCATAAATATCATACATTTACACAAGAAGACCTGTACAAAAATCTCGAGTAGTCTATTGTTTGAATCATGATAAATTGGAAATAACTTATCTGTCAATTTACAGGATAATGGATAAATTGTAGTATGTTCATACAATGGTTGGTCGATCTACCTATCATCCAACTATCTATCTCTCCAACCATCCATCCATCCAACCATCCATCCATGTGATAGTTAACATGAGTCT